TTTTCATTTTTACATTAAATTTTCAGAATTTACGATTATATATATGGAAGGTTCTCTAACTATTAATGTAAGGTTATTATTTTATTAATTTGAGAATAAATTCACATAAATGTTACAAACTTATTGATTTTTTTTCTTTTTTCAATTACTTTATAAAATGTTTAATTTTTACATATTTATATTAAACTTTTTATTTTTAATAAACTCGTGTAGTACACGGGATCTCACACCTAATATATATATATATATATATATATATATATATATATATATATATATATATATATATTAAATAATAGAAAATTTGTAATCATGGCCATCCTTAGTGTTCATGCATAAAGATCCATGCAAACATTGTTGATTTCCTAAACAAATACTACCAGGGATACATAAAGTAGAATTATATCTTAGCAAAAGTCTTTATGATCTTTATGATATACTCCTAAACAAATACTATTACGAATACATTAAGAATAAGATCTTACTTCTTAGCAAAATCAATAGTATCCTTCCCGTTTGTTGATTTCCTAAAAAAATGCTTCACATAATCCGAGTATACAAAATGCTTGTATAAAGTGTTTTCTACACTGTTGATCACTTCCGGCAATGGGCCAATGACATCACTCGGCCTAGGGTTCACAAAGATCGGCACTGAAATCCGGTTATCATGCCCGTTAGCAACCACTTTATGCTCTACACTCTTATATCGACCATTGCTCATGATTTGAAGAGCATCACCAATGTTGATGGTCAACGAATCCTTAACAGGAGCGACATGGACCCACTTATCACTATCAAGCTTTTTAACATAAAGTCCCCCGATGTGGTCTTGAAGAAGCACTGTTAACGTTGAAACATCTGAATGACCACTTGCACCAATTGAGAGCTCAGGGTTGGGACATACGGGATAGTAGTTTAGGTTTATTCGTTTTGAACCCATAAGAAATGGTTCGTTTGTTTCGTTAAGCTTTGGTATGCCCAATCCCTTAATTAGCACTTCTAATAGTTTCTTGATAACAGATTCACACGATTTTAGGTATTCAAGAACTTCATGCCTAGACAAGAACAAAGATAATTAGTGGAAGTGATACTTCAACGGAAAACAACAATGTGTTTCTTGTTTAATAAATTGTAAGATGGATTTGAAAAGATGGTACGACTTACTTGCAAATAGTGGGCCAATATTGCAAGGCTTCTTCATCAGAAACATAGAAACAACTTAGGTGATCTTTCCACTCATAAGCTTTGTCCACATCGGGATTGAAACTCGTAAGGAATCTTACATTTTTGGAAGGAGTATTTCGGGACAAGTATTTCTTTTTTTCTTCAGTTGACAACTCGAAAAACTTATGTGTTGCATCTTTGATACCGTCAATTATATCTTGAGGCAAACCATGGTTAACAATTTGAAAGAATCCCCACTTCTCAGCAGCATAACATATTGATTTCATTACTTCTGGATCTTCATAATTTGACAAGTCGATGACGGGGATCAACTCATTTGGCAACACTTTGCTCACATCCAGCCGTCTCTCAACAGGTTGAATGAACAATTCAGGTAAAGTTTTGAGCTTTAGCTCTGATACACCTTTCACTCCATGGCCTTCATCGACCACAAATTGTTTAAGTTCTCCTGTAGCGCTATGTGATAGCGCCATTTAAGGAAGCCTGGTTTAATTTCACAGAGTTAAAAATTGTTAGATGTAATTCTCGGAAAAAGACTGCCCGTCATTATACATGCACATCAAATAATTAAACAATAAAAATGTCCAAATAAATCGTGTTTCATATGTTATGTTGATATGACACAACATGGATGGAGATTTGAAATTACTTTTTGGTTTTCAACTTCGATGCAAAAAAATGCTAGCAATAGCAAATGAGATGAATAGTTAATGTAAAATTAGGTTATATTTATAGCATTAATAAACACTATAAATAAAAATATATAGAAATCAAAGAAAGGTTAAATAGCCTCCTACTAAATGTTTATATTTATAGCAATTTAATTTCCCATAAAAATAATTTGAACATAGGGACCGGTGGCCTACATTCCATCTATGCGTGAGCATGGCAGTGCTTATCGAAATTGTTTGGAACCGGAACCATGATTCATAAATTGTTGGAATCTGAACCACTTACATTGGTTTTTAAATCTTGTAATGCTCCCGAAACCTGCTCGGATTGTTTCTGTTGTCGGATACAGGAGTTTTTGAGAAGTTTTTTCTTACAAGTATTGTTATTGAAACACTATAAGAGTTTATAGAAATAAAATATTTCTATCATTAAATCAGTATGATCATAATGCAAGCTTTCAAAAGCATACTGTGACAATCAATAATCCACGGGGTCTCAATTTCGTCCTCTCATTTGTGGATTAATATAATCGTATAAATGTGTATACCAAATGTGGTTTGTAAGTGAATCAAAAAGTTTTTTGTGGCTGGAAGCTTCTGTCGACATACAAGAAAGAGAAATTGGACAAGTAAAATAAAAAACTTGCTTTAATTAATAATGGAAACAGTTCTCAAAAAATTAATTACGGAATTCATTTCTCCACGGCAACATTTACTTCATCCACTTAAATTTTATGTAAATTGTCAACATTGCCGATTGATTTAAATTTTTAGATCTCAAATTTCATGAACTGCTTTCTATTACCCACACCAGGGCGTTTAAACATCTACGACCTGTTCGGCACGGAGCGTTTAGGAGCGTTTGAGAGCTTCTAGCTTCTAGCATTTGACAAAACGTTCCGTTTTGAACAGAAAGCGTTGTTTGGCACTACAAGCTTCTAGCGTTTAGTTTAAACAAAACGCTCCAAATCCAAAAGCTACTTCTATAACGTTTAATAAAACGCTACAAGCTACCCGCTATCAGCTACTACTTTATTTTATTTTATTTTACTTTCTATTATTTGTTTTTATTTTTATTTTTTGCTTCTTTGATGGTTCTTTATACTATCATCTCTATTTTTAGGAAAGGTTGTAAATATATTTTTTTTAGAATGGCGGCAATATAACAAAAGTTAGAAGAAGAAAACAACATTAAGTAATTACATAAATTGGATTTTGCACTTAATAAACCCACTTATATATA